GTACAGAAGCAGCCATTGTTCGCCCATTACTGCTAACAGGGCTTTGCCATTTTTCGCACGCACTATTCACCAAACCGCACACCGATGGCCTGGCCGTGTCGGCCTACGCTTCAGGGCTAGCCCGAGCCTCGATGCCAGTGTCGCACTAGCTAGCTCACACTCTCAAGAGTAGCTAGGAATAGAAACGGATGGGATACAAATATGCAACCCTAACAACTGTACCCCCTATAAGGCATCTCATTACAGCTTACAAGAGTTATTATAGTTTGACACACCCCTATAGGCTAAGTGAGGGGTATGAAGGAGACAAACAAGTGACAGCAGATGGTCACAAGACCAGTCAAGAGCAAGCAACAAAACAAGGCTCAGGGAGACGCTCAAAGTCACCACACACTCCGAGCACAAACAAGCGCTCACAAGGCCAGTTTATATAGCAAAGCAAAAAAAGCAGAGCCAATAGCAAGACTACATCAACCAAGGGCCTACCTCAACAAGCCCTAGATGCACACTGAACCTGTGGTGGTCACAAGGCGCTAAGGCCTTCGTGAAGACGTCGGTAGTGTTGGCCTCTCCGGCCACAAAGTCGAAGCATGCCTGGTCGCGTCGCTGTAACTCTCGCAGGAGAAGGTACCTCACGTCAATGTGCTTCACTTTGCTCTCCAGTCGAGGCTCTCGACACATGATGATCATGGCCTTGTTGTCAGCGTACAAGGTCGGTGCAGAGCGAGGCCACTGACCAAGGTCGGCGAGCAAGAAGGTCAATCAGCGAAGCTCCTGTGCCGACATGGCACCAGCGTAGATCTCTGCCTCTGCACTGGACGAAGCCACAGACGGCGACCGTGTAGACCTTCACGACACAACACCAGCACCGAGGCTGAAGTAGCCCTGCGTCGAATGCTGTGTCTCTACGTCGTCAGCGTACCAAGAGTCACACTGACTGGTTGGCTGAGTCCCTCTAAGCACAAGCCCCATGCCTGATGTAGTCGCCAGGTCTTCGCCACCCTCACAACAACTTTCCAGTAAACATGACGGTGTCTCCCATTCGCAACAAAACGGGAGAGGACGCTGAGGGGAAAGGCGAGGTCCGGCCGAGTACAAGTCATCAGATACATGAGGCAGCCCACAAGCTCTGCATAGGGACTATTAGACTCAAAGGGCTCGTTGGAAAAGGGGCCAGTAAGTCTGTGGTCAACAGCAAGAGGAGTAGGCTGGGTGGTGGAGAACTGAAACTCGAACCGCCGAAGGACCTGCTGCACCATGTGTGACTGCGTCAGTGTGATGGTGCGAGCGACTATGTCCCTGGTGATTTGCAGGCCAAGGTAGCGCTGCGGTTCACCGATGTCAGTGCATATGTGTCTCTTCTGCAGTTCGGACTTCACCTCAGCCAGAGCTGCCATGTCTCCTGTAGCAAAGACCAAGTCATCGACGTAGACAAGTTAAAGAAAGGAGTGGAACCAGCGTGAACAAACAGCGACGGGTCAGCAGAAGAAGGACGGAACCCAAGGTCACAAAGCGTGGAACGAAGAGAGTCGTGCCACTCACGGGGCGACTTGCGGAGACCGTAGACTGGTCGCTCCAGGCTCCACTGGGTCCCAGGTGGGAAGGTGTCAGGGAAGCCAAGAGGTCGCCGCAGCCAGACCTCCTCGTGTAGGCAGCCCTGGAGAAACGCAGTGGAGAAGTCGAGGGAGTGCAGCTCGTAGTCTCGTTGTGCTGCTACGTGCAGTAACACTCAAAGAGTAGTCATCTTCGGGGTCGGGGCGAAGGTCTGGAATATGTCAACTCCCTCACGCTAACTGAAACCCCTAGCCACGTAGTGCGACTTGAACATAGGCGGTGGTGATCCATGCGGCCGCTTCACCTTGAAGAGCCACATGCCATCGACAATGTTCGCCCTAGAAGGGGGAACTGAGTCAACGTAGGTGCCTGTGGATCTCCAAGACGCTTACTCTTAGTCCATAGCCGCTTTGCACTAAGATGCCCACTCCACTGACACTGCCTCACGGTACGTGCGAGGAGTCGGAATGTCAAGGGCGTCAGGATCTCCCTCAAGGGAAAGCAGCATGGCACAAAGAGAGGGAGAAGCAGCTGCCAAGAACTCCAACTCAAACTGCTTGTGCTCTAGGACATCACAGCCAAGGGCAAACTCACCCCAGGTGGACAGAGGATGGGCAGGCGGAGCAGCCACTACACGCGTGGCAAAGTCAATCCGGTGGGTAGAAGCTAAGTCGGCGACAGCGGCAGTAAGAGCCGAGACAGACGACGGAGAGGCACGAGGGTCGGTGACAAGAGAGGCAAGAACACGCGAGACAACTGGACGAGCAGCACGGTAGTAGTCGGTGATAGGGTGAGAGGAGACAGTGAGAGTCGACGCAGGAGGTGCAGGAGAATAGACACAGGCGGAGCATGACGGTGACTAGAACGAAACAAGATAGTGCGGAGGTTGTCAAAAGGAGACGAGGGACGAGCACACGGATTACAACAAGTGGTCCAGACGTGCGGGAGAACATGAGGAGGCGACTGTGACTAAGAAGGGGAAGAAACTACTGAAGCCAAGTCCAGAGGAGGAAACGTAGGGGACTGTGAGTGGACAGGAGGAGAAGAGGGAAGACCAAAGGCCCGAAGGCCACTCACTGGTGGGAACAGCTGCTGCAAAAGTGGCGGCTATGGCTAACGCTGCTGCTGGTGCGGCTGCTGCCCCATTTTGGCGATATTTATGACCAAGCCAATGCGGCGCTCAGCAACCCCATTCTGCTGTGGGGACTCTAGAAGCGTCCAAGATTGTGAGGTGCCCTGTTCGCCGCAGAATCCGCGAAGAATGCCGGAGCAAAACTCGCCCCCACGGTCGGAGTGGAGATAGGAGACACGACGACCACGAATGCTCTAAGTGGTGTGGTTGCGAAAGAAACATTGAGACGCACCTGAGTCCAACGTGAAGAAGAGCAACGCGACAACTGTCATGGCTGGACTAGTGACTACACAAGCACCTACACTAAAAGCACAGGTAACGACACTAGCAACAGGCAAAGGTCTTAAGCTAGGTACACGCAAGCCAAGAGATCCATACGTGATACTGTAGAATAAGTAGCATCCATAGATATCAAACACAGGGTAACGACTACGAGACAGACCAGGCCAGATTGGTGGCCTCGACTCAGGCCCAAAACGCTTACGGTATTGGTCGTTGAGGCGGCTGTAGTAGCACTGTGCAGAGTGGTCAGGACACCAGCAGGTAGTGGCAGCACCAGGGCCAGTCAAGATCCGGTACTGGCAGGGGCCGACGTCGCGGCCACTGCGACGAGCCCCCCAGCTGGCTGGGCCGCTGCTGCAGCCAATGATACCCAAACCACCAGGCCACCACTACTGTTGAGGGTGCCACTGCTACCGA